CTAAAAAAAGGACAAAGACGATTTCTCGCTTGCGGTGTTAAGGTCAAGATTAGAACAAAAAACCCCCGTTACTAAATTTTAAGTTCTATGGCAAGAATGGGAAGCTGTGTTCTTTTCTGTTGCCCGAACAAATTATTCTTTCGTATTAGGTGCGGCAAAGGCTCGCCTTGCATGGTCAGTGCTCTTGGGTTTCGTTGCTGTTTGGCAAACCAAAAGCTTACTTTTGACGGCAGCATCGAAAGAATCAGATGAATCACGAAGCACGCACGATAATTTTCACCGAAAAGTCATCGATTGGTTTTACTGCAAGTTGCTCCTTTCCTGTAAAGGTAGAGGCTATCGTCGTCGAGCTGTTTAAATGAAAACGAGTGAGTTTATATTCATCAATAAGACTTTTAATAGAGAAAGACCTCTTTAGTTTGAGTGCAGTATTGCCACGTGACCCATTTCACTCACTGGCAAATAACTGCGGACATCAGTTTTGTAAATGAATATTTCGTATGCACTGACTTTCATACAGCACTCGGATTCGCTAATATCAAATTCAATAGTATTTGTGTTTTATAATTCGTCGCGTTGCAGTGCTGTTATCACGATGACATTGCTATTTTTGCTACTTTTAGTTTCTTGAGGGCATAGGGGAATTGATGGCCCATGGAATGGATTTTCGGAAACCCAGGTGGGTAGAACACAAGGCCCCTTCGAGCTTGTGTTTATGCCAATATCCGCCAGAGGTTTCGCACTGTTCAGGCAACAGGATACCGGTCAGCTCAGGAAAGGGCTTGACTTTTAATACAAATGATGTATTTCTGCTTGTAAAATTCGATGGAAACTACAACAGGTAGGATTATCAAACGATCAGAAAAGCGCAAATTTAATGATGTAGAAAGACAAAGAGTATAAGTACCTTTCGAGCGCGTGAAATAAACAACATTGAGAAGCTCACCATTTTTCGCTTGCGTAATGTCAGCCGAAAAGAATGTGGTATAATCGTGTCCGATGTGGAATAGGCCCCTTAATCAACATTCTTTTCAGCTGAATTCACTGGCAATCTAAGTTCCCCTGATTTGACCAGTGGTATGTGTTCGTGACAGCCGTCTTCGCAGCAGAAACGGAGGATAAGGCCGACGACTTTAAAGAGTAAAATCTCCCCTATGACTACGATGGAAACGCGTCCATTTTGGCCATACAGCTACATCCTTTGGAAAGTGGAGTATGGAAATATCCGGTGTAGGTCTATCATTCCTTTATCTAACCTCATTTGGCGCAACGTCCGTTCGTCGTCTCCTCTTCATTCCTCCTTTCTGCGACAAAGTTTCTGCACAGTTTTCTATGTCACAGCTACGTAACATGATCTTTTTGGCCGCGCACTAAATGGGGACACTTTTTGTTCGCCAAATTGCACTTTTAATGCGCAAAAAAATGGTCAAGGAGAACTCACAAGGCGCTAAGGTCGATAATTTCAAATTTCGAATACAGTTATTAAGCAGAAAACGCAAAAAAAAAAAAAAAAACAAGGCACTTTATATCTCTTCCATTTATTCTTTTTCCTTTCGTTTTATATTCTTTAAAGGCTGGTGAACCTGTGGTACAGAGCCAGATTTTAATTCACTCTTCCCTCATCCTTTTTTCTTGCTTTTCCCGCTCCTACCTCTCTCTCAGAAATAAACAACCGAGGAGGGGAGGGGGTGGGGAAAGTTTGAACACCTGGGTAACCTGTTGCTATGGTCAATATCTTTTCTCTCTTTTCTCTTTCCTTTCTCATTTTTAACTCGTGCAAAAGAGTTTTTATGAAGACTCAGATATGCAAATGAGTCACTCACTCACTAAGATGTAGACACTGGTAATTAGTCGTTCCGAACTCGCTCGAGCACAAAACCACATTGGAGTAGTAACCGCACGTGACGTTAGTAAGGCTTTGTTACATATTAAGCATCGTTGCTTTAGATATAATCTTGCATGTGAAAAAAATTTTATCGAGTTCAGGCACAAACCCATTACTGTGAATCGCTTCGCTTGTTTATGATCTGATGTCAAACATGAACCGTGATTAAATTCAATTATCTTATGAAAACTGTGCATTGGCGACTGAATCGGTCAGAAGCGGACGAAAATAATCCTTTGCTTTTCTGACAAAAGAAAATTTGTGGAATTCACTACCGCATATGTTTATTTTCAATCAGACAAAAGTATTGCGATCGCCTAAAATGCCTTCTGAGGTAATTTGTTCCGAGGCAGAAAACTTAAAGAGTTTTGTTATCAGATGCACGCGGGAGTCAACTCTTTAACTCCCATGAGTAACCAAGACAGAATTTCTCCTTACAATATCAATACAATATCAACCAGATAAGTAGTGAGAATAAAGAGAAATATCAATTTAGGGATAATTATTTGATTCAATACTAAATTCTCTGAACTAACATCACAAGAATTCTATGGTTGACAGTAGGAGAATTACAAATTTGATCTGGGAGTTAGAGGGTTAAGGCTGTAAACAAAGACTGTTACGCTGCCATTCAACCATTTCTTGAGCAGCTGAGGTAGAACGTGACATATGAATGGAAAATAGCAAAATTTGGCTTGTGCAGGCGAAGAAAGACTTGGATTGCAGCGTCTAGATTTGACAAATTTTGCGAACAGAGATTCGATAAACGCAGGATACTATTTTGTGCTGTTTCTAAAAACTATAAATGCGTTTATTTCTCAGCGGAGTTAATGGTTACCATGCTCGGCTTTTGAGATAAGAGCAACCTTGCATTGCTACCAGAAATATAATTACAGGTTCACAACCATATTTCATCTCTAGATGAAGAACTCTATGCACGAGTTGGCCAAAGGTATTCTCTGATTTCAGTTAGCAAGACAAGTCACTCTTTCACCCAGTTTTTCTGTGTAAGCAGATTAAAACCCACCCCCCTAAAACATCCAAATTGCGTCGACCATGGGTCAGTTTACAAGAAATATCAAACGAAAAAAGGGAATTGAAGAAAGGAAGCAGCAGGCTAAGGAGCATCGTAATCAAACGGACTTTCTGGATGAACGCAAAAAAAAAGTATACGCATCAACAAAAAATAGAGGAGAAAAACTGAAATTCTACTGAAAATACCTTTATTTATATCAGTTACGTCTTAAGAAATAAATAAATGGTTCAAGTAAACATACCTTTACAAAATTAAAAAATGTCTTGTAACAACGTTTCTAAAAAAATGTTCACTTCGAAAAATAGATTGTTATTCACAGCCTACAACAAAGCCTCATGTAGGCATCATAAAGAGTCTTACCATACAACATGGCTACAACTCTATTAATTAACTCTTTGTACCCTAAGAATTGTCAACTTCAAATTTCTCACAGGACTTAAAAGTGTCAGCACATTATCACACTAAAGTAAGTTTATGAGAATCAAGTAACTGATCACCAAAGAATAATTACTCTAACCTTAAACCAATTATGGCAGTCCCTCTAGAAAATATATATATATGAGCAGAATTTATTACTAAAGACAAAAATATTACATCCGATTTTCAACTACAACAAAATCCGAGGCAGTCCAATGTTTCCAAATTATCCTCGCGCGGATAATCTGGTGGTTTACACGCACGCGCGTTACAGTTGAAGCATAGTTTCTTTTAACAGCTTTATCCATTAAACGTGACAAGGTAAAAGTTGTGTAGATAAGATTGTAATGAAGTGTAACGGTCTCTTGACTAAACGTACACGCTTTTATAAAAGCTCTTACAAAAGTAAATAATCGTGGAAAACAGATGCTACGTAACTCTTATACTAATACTGATATCGATAAATGGAAGCTACTGTACATTTACCCTGTTCAAGGTCAGAGTCATTAATCGCTGCTTATTCCTGACGTAAACGCTTCTTAAAGTTGGTCATAAGGCAAGGTAGCCATGTCCTAGAAGGGTTCAATTTATTGCAAGTATTGTCACATGAGGATGACACTCCTACGTAACACCCAGAGCAGCAGCACTATCATCACCAATTTTATTATCACTCAAATCCAACGTTGTCAGCGATTTGTTATATTTCAAACACTCACCCAGAGCAGCAGCAACATCATCATCAATTCCATTACCACTCAAATACAACGTTGTCAGCGATTTGTTATATTTCAAACACTCACCCAGAGCAGCAGCACCATCATCACCAATTTCATTACAACTCAAATCCAACGTTGTCAGCGATTTGTTATATTTCAAACACTCACCCAGAGCAGCAGCACCATCATCATTAATTAGAGTAAGTTTCAAATTCAACGTTGTCAGCGATTTGTTATATTTCAAACACTCACCCAGAGCAGCAGCACCATCATTATCAATTCCATTACGACTCAAATCCAACGTTGTCGGCGATTTGTTATATTTCAAACACTCACCCAGAGCAGCAGCACCATCATCACCAATTTCATTACAACTCAAATCCAACGTTGTCAGCGATTTGTTATATTTCAAACACTCACCCAGAGCAGCAGCACCATCATCATTAATTAGAGTAAGTTTCAAATTCAACGTTGTCAGCGATTTGTTATATTTCAAACACTCACCCAGAGCAGCAGCACCATCATCATTAATTAGAGTAAGTTTCAAATTCAACGTTGTCAGCGATTTGTTATATTTCAAACACTCACCCAGAGCAGCAGCACCATCATTATCAATTCCATTACGACTCAAATCCAACGTTGTCGGCGATTTGTTATATTTCAAACACTCACCCAGAGCAGCAGCACCATCATCACCAATTTCATTACAACTCAAATCCAACGTTGTCAGCGATTTGTTATATTTCAAACACTCACCCAGAGCAGCAGCACCATCATCATTAATTAGAGTAAGTTTCAAATTCAACGTTGTCAGCGATTTGTTATATTTCAAACACTCACCCAGAGCAGCAGCACCATCATTATCAATTCCATTACGACTCAAATCCAACGTTGTCGGCGATTTGTTATATTTCAAACACTCACCCAGAGCAGCAGCACCATCATCCTAAATTCCAGTAGCACTCAAATCCAACGTTGTCAGCGATTTGTTATATTTCAAACACTCACCCAGAGCAGCAGCACCATCATCATCAATTCCATTACCAATCAAATCCAACGTTGTCAGCGATTTGTTATATTTCAAACACTCACCCTGAGCAGCAGCACCATCATCACCAATTTTATTATGACTCAAATCCAACGTTGTCAGCGATGTATTATATTTCAAACACTCTGCCAGAGCAGCAGCACCATCATTGCCAATTTCATTGTCATCCAAACTCAACTCTGTCAGCGATGTATTATATTTCAAACACTCACCCAGAGCAGCAGCACCATCATTGCCAATTTCATTTTTATCCAAACTCAACTTTGTCAGCGATGTATTATATTTCAAACACTCACCCAGAGCAGCAGCACCATCATCCTCAATTCCAGTAGCACTCAAATCCAACGTTGTCAGCGATTTGTTATATTTCAAACACTCACCCAGAGCAGCAGCACCATCATTCTCAATTCCAGTAGCAATCAAACACAACGTTGTCAGCGATTCGTTATATTTCAAACACTCACCCAGAGCAGCAGCACCATCATCATCAATTCCATTACCAATCAAATCCAACGTTGTCAGCGATTTGTTATATTTCAAACACTCACCCAGAGCAGCAGCACCATCATCACCAATTTTATTATGACTCAAATCCAACGTTGTCAGCGATGTATTATATTTCAAACACTCTGCCAGAGCAGCAGCACCATCATTGCCAATTTCATTGTCATCCAAACTCAACTCTGTCAGCGATGTATTATATTTCAAACACTCACCCAGAGCAGCAGCACCATCATTGCCAATTTCATTTTTATCCAAACTCAACTTTGTCAGCGATGTATTATATTTCAAACACTCACCCAGAGCAGCAGCACCATCATCCTCAATTCCAGTAGCACTCAAATCCAACGTTGTCAGCGATTTGTTATATTTCAAACACTCACCCAGAGCAGCAGCACCATCATTCTCAATTCCAGTAGCAATCAAACACAACGTTGTCAGCGATTCGTTATATTTCAAACACTCACCCAGAGCAGCAGCACCATCATCCTCAATTCCAGTAGCACTCAAATCCAACGTTGTCAGCGATTTGTTATATTTCAAACACTCACCCAGAGCAGCAGCACCATCATCACCAATTTCATTACCACTCAAATCCAACGTTGTCAGCGATTTGTTATATTTCAAACACTCACCCAGAGCAGCAGCACCATCATCATTAATTCGATTATGTTTCAAATTCAACGTTGTCAGCGATTTGTTATATTTCAAACACTCACCCAGAGCAGCAGCACCATCATCATCAATTCCATTACCACACAAATACAACGTTGTCAGCGATTTGTTATATTTCAAACACTCACCCAGAGCAGCAGCACCATCATCCTTAATTCCAGTAGCAATCAAACACAACGTTGTCAGCGATTTGTTATATTTCAAACACTCACCCAGAGCAGCAGCACCATCATCCTCAATTTTATTATCACTCAAATCCAACGTTGTCAGCGATTTGTTATATTTCAAACACTCACCCAGAGCAGCAGCACCATCATCACCAATTTCATTACAAGCCACATTCAACTTTGTCAGCGATTTGTTATATTTCAAACACTCACCCAGAGCAGCAGCAGCATCATCACCAATTACAACACCAGCCATGCTCAACGTTTCCAGCGATGCATTATATTTCAAACACTCTGCAAGAGCGGCAACCCCGTCTTGCGAAGAGTTATTTAATGTTAAGTTTCTCACAGTTGTATTTGTTTTCAGAAAGTTGCTTAAAAAGACAGCTAGAGTTTCATCCACTTCTACACTTGAAACTTCAACAGATTCAGTTTGAAGAGAAGCGCCAAGAGCGGTAGCCAATTTTTCATCAATATTTTTGTTCTTCTTTTTGCATTCATTAACACACTCTAATATAACGTCCACGTCTTCCTCTTCTTCCTGGTTTAACTGTGTTGCTATGCTTTTCAGAAGGTTCACCACTGTTTCCTCGCATCGTGCTGCTAGCATACCAAATGTAAACAGAAGCACTTCTTTCAGTTGATGGCGATGTTTTTTGCCAGCAGGTATGCTGTTCGTACTGATTTCTTTCTGGATAAGCTGACAACTGAGATAGAACGCTGCGAAGAATTCTTGGAAAGTCTTGTGAAGAAAGCTATAACGTCTAGTTGGTCTTAGTTTACTGCCTCCAGGCTGAACTGACAGAAATCCAAATCCAGGTAAATCGCTTGCTTTGTGTTTTCCAAGCTCCTTCTCGTCAAAATCCAAGTTGTCTTCAAGTAAACCTTTCAAAGCTATCGAACCAAGGTGTTTCAATTGGCTTTCGTAAAGGTCAACAAGGTCTTCACCGTTTCCTGGTAGTTGCTGCTTTGTTCTGTACCTTCTTAGTACACACTCCACTATTTCCATGTACAGCTTCGTTCTGCTCTCAGGAAATATACCTTTCAAATCTTCATAAACCAGGCAAAGAAGCGCAGTGTTGAGAGGATTTGTCAATATTTCATATAACTTGCGATCAATATACAGGTGTGCGATAAGCTGCTTGGCCAAGTTTGGTTCGGCTTTGAAGTACTTTCTGATGAAGGATTGTACATCTTTTTCAGTAAATCCCTCAACTTCTAACAGCGTGTCGCAGTATTTTCGAACTTTGACTCCAGCTTCGTGTCGTGCCGTAGCAACCACGCGACAGTTTAGCAGTACTCGCCCTTGAATAATTTCTGAAAACATAGGTAGCTTCTTCTCAGAAACTTCATCCAATCCATCGAGTACCAGAAGAACATTAGATTGATTGTGGCGAATGAAGTCGAAGAATCTCTCACGTTGGTCTTCACCAACTTCTCGAGGCAGAAGTTGATCTTCAATGGCCTCCCAAAGGCCAGACTGAACATCACGACATTTGATCAAAAGCACTATTACGATGTTTGCGAAGCAATTTCCGGTTGCGTGTTTTCCTGAGGCCCACTCGAAAACAACTTTTTTACAGTAAGTGGTCTTTCCCATACCAGGCTTCCCTTCAATTAACACAACTCTTGGTTCTTCACATTCTTCGTGCTGGTTGAAGATTTCAGACATCGTGACAACTCGGTCTGTTGCTTTTCCTTTCGTTTTCTTTCTGTAGATGACTTTAAGTCTGGTGTAGATGTCGTCAAAGGAGAAGTGAAAATCTTCACACCAGGGAAACGGTGCCAGCCAACCTTCCCGATTTTTGTAGAGTTGACGAATATTATCAATAATTCCAGTTGGGTCAAATCCACCTGAAAAAGAATTAGTTGTTAGTTTTATGAGGCATTCTTACCGACACGCTATATGACGCCATGACTCTCGGAAAAATAAGCAATTATACGATGACACTGAGAATGATATCGTGAAATATCACCATTTAGGTCTGAGTTATCAGACGAAGCCGAAGGCTGAAGCAGATATTATTGACACGAAGTTTGTTAATTCATAATAACATGGAAAAAAAAAACCGGAATATTTTTTTCATTTTGAAAACAACTGCAAAATAAAACATTTCTCTCTGAGGGTGCAAAATTTTGAGAACACTACACAGTCGAGGGGCTCGGAAACTAGGCAGACTCTGAACTCGACATGATCAATATCCGCTGCATTTAATGGGTTATGAAGTCAATTTCTTACGGTACTGCATATCAATTAAGTGGCGATCTCTGTAAGAGTGGTCCAAGGCCTTTCGCATCAGAGAAAAGTTTTGCCTCAAACTCTGCCCATTAAATGTAAAAACACTTTTCACTTATTAATTTTCTTCGCCTAAGTGACTACAAACTTTTGGTGATTTTGCTAAGGTGACAGCAGAATTATGCATAAATCTTAGATTTTAACAATTTTAAAAAGAAAAGATAGTAGGGTAGAACACACAAATTGATTTTTTAAACAAAACGCGAACAAAACGTATTGGATATCATATTGATAAGCGTTCGGTCAACGTGTTAATAAGGAACTTTTTTTAAAAGAATTGGTTTCTGTTCTTTCACATTTGAGTTTAGAGCGTTTAAGCTATTCAAACCTGTATGACCAAAGAATTACGTCATCGCTGCCTTCTTTAGACGGGAAAAAGTAGAGATACATTTACACACAGGTATTGAACACATCCCCATCTGCCGCTTTTCAGTAAAGAAATTGGATTACAAAGTAAAATATATATAATATAATACGAATTATATGTCTAAATAAAATATGGTCAGTTTAAAAATTCATTCAAAAGGGGATTTTTTAGAGCTCTCTTAAAGGAAGCAGAACTCTTACATAATTTAAGGCTTGGATCTAACTTGTTCCAGATAGATACATTTTTATAACAAAATGTTTTCTGTCCTGTTGCAGTTTTACAAAGAGGAATGTTTAGTCGTTGAAAGTTTCTGTTTATACGTCCAGATACGCTGCCTCGCGCGGCAAAGTTTTGAACGTATAGCAATTTACGAATATTACAGGCTGAGGTGGATGACCATACTGATGAACAGTAATACCGTTTACTGAAAACATAAGCGTTTATCATGGTTTCAAGCAGTTGTTTATCGAAAACGTAATACGGCTTATCTTAGAGAATTTCGACATGCAAGACGATACTACAGTAGAAATATGATTATCAAAAGATAGCGTGGGATCAGAAATTACTCCAAGGTCTTTGACTGATTGAGCCGGGATAATGTCTTTTCCTAGTGGGGATAATTTAAAGTCCAGTAATTTGGAAGACATTCTTCGGCTGCCAAAAACTATTAGTTTCGTCTTATCTGGATTAAGCATCGAAGAATTGTTGAAACACCAATTGCGAATCCGTTGTAAGTCGGAATTAACACTTTGAGTGATCCAAGCAGAGTCGTTCGCGGTCAAAGACAATAGGAGCTTAGTCATCCACGTAGCAAGCATTTGAACAATTTTGACAAACATTTGGTAGATCGTTTTCATAAATACTAATTACCAACCGTCATATGATAATTTCTGATTTTAAAATTGATAAGGGAGTTATTGAGGGCGAAAGGGATCCATGTGAGAGATCTTTACATAGTCTCTACGAAAAAGCCTAAAAATTTATCAGTCCGCTTCCTCTCCCTGCGTTATGTTAACTATATGCAAGATGTTGGTCGAAAAATCAGCCTGGCAGATGAGATGATTCTCTAACTTGCCTCTGGCTCAGTTGGTAAAATGAAAGTATATCCATTCGCGAAATTGAAAAGTTTGAGGCTTGGATCCTATACAATGCCAGTGACTGTTATTTATTACCATTCTGTCATAAATAAAGCCATGATACCTACAGTTAAGCGATAATTTTAAAAGTTACAGGAATAAATCTGTGAAGGTTCAGGCTTCGATGAAATTCGAACCCGTGCTTCCGAATGAAGTGAAAAAAAAACTGCAACTTCCCATAATTACATTTCTAATCATTTTCCAGATGCAACACTACTTTGTTCGCACATTGTCCAGAAACAAGAGTTCTGGGAAATTCCTCGAGGAAACTTAACGGATCTAATTCGAAATAACCTAAGGGGCAGTACGCTAAGCTTATTTTCTTTGTAGAAATAATGCATGTCTTAAAGAAAACAACGGTAAATCGTTAATACAAGGTGCACAAATAGTCCTGGCCAAATGTTAGAGCAACATATGACAGGAACAATTTAAAACATGTAAAAATAAGAAACTCAAAAATAGCCTTAAAAGCGGCACTGGTCTAGCTGATTTTACCTCCATGATCGAAGGCCTAGGCCTATTTAAGGCTAACTCAGACAAATCCTTCTTTATGCAGTGATGATTAGATAATCCAGAGAATACACATCGCTTTCAACTGATGGTCTCTCTGTTCCGAGTACACTACTCAAGAGGGTATAGAAGAGACTAAAAGTAAACCTCAGGTATACACTACTCAAGAGGGTATAGAAGAGATTAAAAGTAACCCTCAGGTATACATTATTCAAGAGAGTATAGAAGAGATAAAAGTAACCCTTAGGTATATACTACCCAAGAGCGTATAGGAGAGATAAAAGTAACCCTAAGGTATACACTACCCAATAGCGTATAGGAGAGATAAAAGTAACCCTTAGGTATCTACTAGCCAAGAGGGTATAGCAGAGATAAAAGTAACCCTTAGGTATATACTACCCAAGAGCGTCTAGGAGAGATAAAAGTAACCCTTAGATATAAACTACCCAAGAGCGTATGGGAGAGATAAAAGTAACCCTTAGCTATAAACTACCCAAGAGGTTATAGGAGAGATAAAATTAACCCTTAGGTATATACTAACCAAGAGGGTATAGGAGAGATAAAAGTAACCCTTAGGTATAAACTACCCAAGAGCGTATAGTAGAAGTAAAAGTAACCCTTAGCTATAAACTACCCAAGAGGTTATAGGAGATAAAATTAACCCTTAGGTATATACAACCCAAGAGAGTATAGGAGAGATAAAAGTTACCCTTAGGTATATACTACCCAAGAGGGTATAGGAGAGATAAAAGTAACCCTTAGGTATATACTACCCAAGAGGGTATAGGAGAGATAAAAGTAACCCTTAGGTATATACAACCCAAGAGGGTATAGGAGAGATAAAAGTTACCCTTAGGTATATACTACCCAAGAGGGTATAGGAGAGATAAAAGTAACCCTTAGGTATATACTACCCAAGAGAGTATAGGAGAGATAAAAGTTACCCTTAGGTATATACTACCCAAGAGGGTATAGGAGAGATAAAAGTAACCCTTAGGTATATACTACCCAAGAGAGTATAGGAGAGATAAAAGTTACCCTTAGGTATATACTACCCAAGAGGGTATAGGAGAGATAAAAGTAACCCTTAGGTATATACTACCCAAGAGGGTATAGGAGAGATAAAAGTAACCCTTAGGTATATACAACCCAAGAGGGTATAGGAGAGATAAAAGTTACCCTTAGGTATATACTACCCAAGAGGGTATAGGAGAGATAAAAGTAACCCTTAGGTATATACTACCCAAGAGAGTATAGGAGAGATAAAAGTTACCCTTAGGTATATACTACCCAAGAGGGTATAGGAGAGATAAAAGTAACCCTTAGGTATATACTACCCAAGAGAGTATAGGAGAGATAAAAGTTACCCTTAGGTATATACTACCCAAGAGGGTATAGGAGAGATAAAAGTAACCCTTAGGTATATACTACCCAAGAGGGTATAGGAGAGATAAAAGTAACCCTTAGGTATATACTAACCAAGAGGGTATAGGAGAGATAAAAGTTACCCTTAGGTATATACTAACCAAGAGGGTATAGGAGAGATAAAAGTAACCCTTAGGTATATACTAACCAAGAGGGTATAGAAGAGATAAAAGTAACCCTTAGGTATATACTAACCAAGAGGGTATAGAAGAGATAAAAGTAACCCTTAGGTATATACTACCCAAGAGGGTACAGGAGAGATAAAAGTAACCCTTAGGTATATACTACCCAAGAGGGTTTAAGAGAGAAAAAAGTAACCCTAAGGTATATACTACCCAAGAGGGTATAGGAGAGATAAAAGTAACCCTAAGGTATATACTACCCAAGAGGGTTTAGGAGAGAAAAAAGTAACCCTAAGGTATATACTACCCAAGAGCGTATAGAAGAGATAAAAGTTACCCTTGGGTATAAACTACCTAAGAGGGTATTGGAGAGATAAAAGTAACCCCTAGGTTTAAATTACCCAAGAGGGTATAGAAGAGGTTAAAGTAACCCTTAGGTATATACTAACCAAGAGGGTATAGGAGAGATAAAAGTAACCCCTTGGTTAAAATTACCCAAGAGGGTATAGAAGAGGTTAAAGTAACCCTTCGGTATATACTAACCAAGAGGGTATTGGAGAGATAAAATTAACCCTTAGGTATATACTAACCAAGAGTGTATAGGAGAGATAAAAGTAACCTTTAGGTATATACTAACCAAGAGGGTATAGGATAGAGAAAAGTAACCCTTCGGTTTATACTAACCAAGAGGGTATAGGAGAGATAAAAGTAACCCTTAGGTATATACTACCCAAGAGGGTATAGAAGAGATAAAAGTAACCCTCAGGTACACACTACCCAGGAGGGTAGAGGAGAGATTAAAAATAACCCTGAAACAATGGGCCTTGGGCATTCCCTAGAAGTGGATTGATTTAATTAAATAAATGTCCTTCTGCAGTTAGCTTTCGGCTCCCTTGACACTTTTCACAAAAATGAGATAAGATAAAAGGTTTGGCTAAATTGAAGATAGTAGGTAGATAATAGGACGTGGTTTTGTCAAACAACGGCCAAACTTTGTTTAAATAACCGGGCCTTTATGTTTCGTTCCACGAGGTTATATAGGTTTAATCTGTTTTAACGTTGTTCACTCAAAAAAAGCAACATTCTTACGGTGAATACCCTCTTAATAATAACTCTCCCGAAGCTCCGCATTTCAATAGATGAATCGCCCTTGAATTCATAGCTACTGTAGGGACTAACCTTGATGCTGTGTTTCCTCTTGTCGGGCCATCATTAAACTTGACAACTTGTCTTGTATGTTTCCAATTTCACTTCTCATCTGATCAATGTCATTTGTCATTTTTTCTAAATTTCAAAACACATATTTGTCTGAAATAAGTCCAGGTTTCTTTTTCCCTTTACTTTAAAAGAAATAGCAATTACTGGTTTTTTATTCGTATTTCATGCGTATATGAAACAATCAACAATGGAAAACCAAAAAACCTTCATTCATTCCTTTTAATTTATTTGGGAGTATTAGTACCTTTAATACTTTTTTTTTCGTTTTTATTGTTTCTTGCTGTTGTTTTTCTTTTTTTTAGGTGGGGGGGGGAGGGGTTGTGGTACATTTTCAGTAACCATTAAAATAATCAAACTGCATACAGCAATATGCACCTCACTGCGCTTTGACGGTTGATATGTTAGAAAATTTTAAAGCACCTCCCATACTTCTCAATTTTAAAAGGTTAATTTTAATTGCAAAAGTGACATAATAAATGGCATTAAGAATTCACCCTGATCTTGTGCTTCATGATGTCGTGCTATCAAAGTGTCCAGCTTATCACGTAGAAAATTTTAAAGCACCTCTCAAACTTCACTCAATTTTAAAAGGTTTATTTTAATTTTTAAAAGTGACGTAAGAAATGGCATTAAGAATTCACCCTGATCTTGTGCTTCATGATGTCGTGCTATCAAAGTGTCCAGCTTATCACGTAGATTTCCAATTTCAGTTCTCATCCAGTCAAAGTCATTCGTCACTTTATCTAAGGGTAAAGATTGATAAATCTCATGCCAAAACATAATTTATTTTTTGATCAGAGATTAAGCATAAAACATAATTTATTTTTTGATCAGAGATTAAGCGAGAGAGATGGAGTTTCATCCTGAACTTACCTCGATCCTTTGTTTCCTGTTGTCGAGCCATCATCGTATCCAATTTTTCCACAATATTTCCTACTTCACATCTCAGCTGATTAAGGTCTTTTTTAATGTTCCATGTGCTAGCTGAGAGTGAAAAACCACGTTAGTTTTCCTGCAGCAAAGTCTGACTGTTGTTTGTTTGTTTTTTTACACAACATTTATAAACCCCTCCTCTCCCAAGAACACGATCTCTTTTTTGATAACTATCTGGAGTTTTTTTTCTTTCTATTTTGTTTCTGTTATCTTTTATCTTTTTTCCACGCTCGTGACAAGACGAAAAACATTTCTCCATTTCTTTTACCGAGCTCAAAATTTACCTTCTTTCTTATACTATTTAAAAACATGCTGCTATCCACACTGCTGATCCTAACAGCATGCAGGACGCGTGTCATATATAAACTCGGTAAGGGGCCCAGCTCACCATAGAGTCTCTGTGTTGCTTAGTGGTCCAAGAACATATATCAAATCACTCAAATCACTTTGGTGGAGGTCATAAGCCTCTGAATTTTCCTCATTTTAGTTGTGTTACATAAACCATGCTAACTATAGAATACCGGCCATTTCACGTGGCTCATGGAGTGAATTGTTATTCAGCATCACATCACTCAATTTAGCCACACGTTGTTTCTCCCACCACCTTAAGAGGCCTTGTTAAACCAACCGGAATGTAAACTCAAAATAAGGGTAATTTAATTTCCTATTTGTGAACTATTACTGAATAAATCATCTTGATTTATAATCCATACAAAAATATGCAGTGGAACTTAGATCTAAGTCAGACCTATCCTTGTAAAAAGAGAAGATTGAAACAGGAAGCAATACCTGCATTAAAATGAGGCCAATTTTGGAATATGACTGGATCATTCAAAATGTTGGCCACGACAGATGCTGCCATCACACAGGCAATTTGTTTCCATTTCTTACTTGAAGACTGCATTTCATCCGCAAAGTCTTTGATGCCCTTTACGACCACCCATTCTGTCTTAAAATCGTGAGCTGCTGCATACACTCCTGAAAAAAAAATACTCATGTCTGTTAACTGTATATTAAGCTTATTTTCTTAGTATCCTTAATATAATTGTCCAATTAAAGCTCACAAAGATTCACACTCTAGCTGTTTGTAAAAATGCACAACGCAAAAAGACGTTAGTTAATTTCGAAATCTAATATTTTTTGAACTAGTAATAAAAAAAATTGTACACTGACTGTAAAATTATTCTTCAGGTTTCACCTTGTTTCATAAGTAACTTTCAACATTTCTCAAAAGACAAACTTCTGTCAGATAGAGTTAACCCTTTCACTCCTAAGACCTCATTAGTAATTCCCTTAAACCCTTTATCTCCCGTGGGTAACCAAGTGAGAATTTCTCCTTACTATATCGATACAATATCATGCAGACAAGTGATGGGAATAAAGAAAAATGCCAATTATGGGATTATACTAATTGATCCAATACCAAACTAACATAATGAGAATCATTTCACAGACAATAAGGAGAACTGCTAATGAGATCTTGGGAGTTAATGGGTTAATGTCTGTTAAACAATTCCTATGATGTTAGTTAGGAGAATTTGGTTTTGGATCCACCAATAATCCCCTAATTTACATTTTATCTTTTCCCATCACTTATCTGCTTGGTATCATGTTGATACTGTAAGGAGAAATTCTATCTTGGTCACTCATGGGAATTTAAGTGTTAACAGGGACTGTGATACTATTCCTCAACTCTCAAACTACTCAACAAAATACTTTCTACATTTTTCAGATGACAAATGTAACACAATTCATGACACCCTGAAGGTAAGCACACTCAATTTAGCCAGAAGAAGTATTCAGTCACCTTCACCTGTAAAATCTTCCTACCCCAGCCAAACACAAAATCACTACTATTATGCGATATACAATTCCTGCAAATTTGGCATGCTATATGGTACATACTATTTCTTAGACCAGCAGAGACAATAGCAGAGCAGTGTTTTTCAAAACACATTTGCTACAAGTGCAAAAGTGCTTGGCTCATCAATTATATGAATTATTATGATTCTCACCTCCACCTTCCATTTCAACTGCAATTGCTTCAGGATGTTTCCTCATCATATCTCTGTTTGCCTCTGAGATACTCAGAACCACTCCATCACAGTGCACTTTGGCATTATATTCATCAGCATTTTGTAAAGGTGCCTTCCACCCATCAGCCACATGTTTGATCAAGTTACCAATATCTCTGCTGGGGGGAGTTTTGTGTGCAGCTGTTATAAGCTTTGCTGAAACAACCACATCTCCTAACTTGACCTTTTTGCTGTTCAAACCACTGCAGGCACCAACTGAAAAAATAGCCTTGGGTCTCAGTAGCAAGATGGCATCTTTTGAAACAGACAGAGAACCCCCAGGAACATCAGGACCTTTGGAGCACCTCATCAATGCAATTTTAATTTTCTTTCCTTGATCATCACCCATGCACCCAAAGTACACAGGGCCAGTACTGATGTGGTAACTCTTAAAGGGTTTCTTCAAGTAAGCAAAGCAGCCTAAGAACTCACAGTCTTCTACTGTTAATAAAAGAATATCAACAGGAAGTTCAACAGTTTCCCAAGGATTAGAGATTGTTGGAAGATCACTCAACTCTGGAAGTTTCACACTGAGCTCTGGCAGGCTGAGCTCTGACAGGCTACTATTACCAGTCTGTGCTGATGTATTTTCCCCTGGTATCGTTACCGTCTCTGAAAAAGAAGGTTGTAGTCTTGGTTTTTGTATGTGACAATTAAATAGCTTACCCAAATGGAAATCAAAAGATAAGAAAGATGAAGAAAAAAAAGCAAATTATGGATACACTTGATGTATCAAGGGAATAAAGATTCACAACTTCAATTACACATAGTTGTGACTTTTAAAGAAAAATCTGCACAAAATTCATTTCATCTAACAATCTAGTATGAGTTACTGTACATTATTGACTCTACAAAGTTAGTTTAAAACTCAGGTTTAGAAAAAAAAATTACACACACCCCTCTCCCATGAATTTTTTTCAGAAATGTCAAAGGAATCCTCCATGTCCCCTCCTTTCCTGGCCTTTTCCACAATTTTGTCTTCATGCCATTTGTCTGTGATACAGTCATCATCTTTGAACCACTCTCTCAGAAGCTCTCGGTAGCGTTCTTCAAGATCAGCATCCATATAATAGAATGTAGGATCATCTATGACTTCCTCATAGCAGGTCCCTCCAATGCGCAGAAAGGTGTCTTTGATGCTGTTCCAGTACAAACTAAAAGTTGGATCATCAACTGAAGCATTAGCAGCATGACTGAAAACTCTGTCCCTGAAAAACTTGATGCAAGTGATGTCAGCTGCCAGAGAGATGTCTGATCCTGGAGTAAGCTTATTCCAGCCAGAGGCAGGGAGAGTCAGACCCCAGATATTCTTCAGAAGACATAACAGTAAGCAGGTGTCAAAGTCCTTTGAGGAAACTGAAGATTTGGAAGTAGGATACAGTTTCCCCCACTGGGAAGTATGCAGGACTCTCTTCTTTCGCAGTGATTGCAGTTTGGCATGGTTTGTGGGATCAGTCAGAACTGCATGAAGGTTTCCTGGTGGACATACCCGGTCAAAGATCTCCCTTAGCACAAGTGATCCAACTTCAACAAGAAGGCAACAGAGCTGAGCATAATTTAAGCTCTCTTTAGCAGAAGGATGCAATGGGGTGGCAGAAGCCATGAAATCAAGTCCTCTGTAAAGAAATGCTTGTAATTAATACATGGAAGGCAACATTACAGAGCACACACAAAAATCATAACTTTATTCTAACTTTGCAACACCAGAATATTACAGCACTCCAAAATGAGTTAAATATCACGCAACAGATCAATAGAATAAGTTTGAGGCATCTTCCATTTTAACCCTTTAACCTCTAAGAGCTGTGATTGGCTTCTAATTTCTCCTTACAGTATCAACCTTGAATCAAATGTAATTGGGTCACAAGAATAAAGGAGATCATCAAAAATTTAAAAAGTTCCTAATTCTCATATCACACTTTATCTATTTTCTCATATTCAATATACAAAATATTCCTTCAACCTGCAGATGGCAGATGCTAATCCAGGCGGGGCAATTAAACACTTAAGGTTACTGTCAACAAAATAGGGTGTCTTCTGGAAAAATTGTCCTACTCATGCTACCATTAAAGAAACTGTAATAAACAGAGATCTTCAGTAGATCATGGCTAGTTTAATTAAAGATAAAGTCAAAAGGTACGGGGTATAGCCGCAAACGCTAATCACTCGTATTACAAACTTTACTAGAACAAACTTGACACATTGTTGAATAAGGTAACTGAAAATGACAAAATTACAACCACGGGAATGCGCATAAAATAACTTACATCGTATGAGTGAAAGTACTGGAAAACGACAAAGCGAAATAAACAAGGATACTTACAAGACGAATGTGACCAAACCAAAGACGAAAACATGAAACCCAGAGCTAGATATGTAACAATAATTTTCGCAAACTAGACAACTAACCAAATAAATTACGCACAACCAATATATATACGATATGCAAATAAATATAACGAGTACAAAACTGGTAACTGACAAAGGACACTAATGAAGATGAGAAAATAAACACCTAACACGAAACTATAAAACACCAACACTAACAAAAAATGATAATACAAATTCTTGCGCCTACACGGGGGAAACTTACATGTGCTCTGTTGCACAATATTTGATATCTGTTTACTTGATGCTAAACATATGATTCGATTAAAACAGAAACCTTAGAAAAACGTACAGTATAAAAGCTTATAAAGTACAGATTGTGGAAATAACAAAACTTTTCACAGTTGTTGTTTGTTTTAGTAGGCACACGTAAGCATTTAAATGCAAAATTGATGGTGTTTGCTATGCTGAATTACTAACCTCTGTGTTACTCCAGACCTTGAAACAAACTGGACAGTATAACTCAGCAGATAATGGGCTAACAAAGAGTGTCAGGCAATTTCGATATTCCTATTGGTTACTGAGAAAATCTATTGCGAGGTTGGATTTCCCTTGATGTCAAACTCCAGTAAATTACAGGAGAAATATTTGAAATTTCGTTAAAGCCTTATGCACTTGTGTGTGATAATATCTGAGGAACATTCAAGCCAATTTTCATGAACCCATTCACATACCCTATTAATGTAGAGGTAACTTGTGTAATAACAAACCTCGAGTTTTTGGCCTCCAAAGAAATTCAGAGTTTTCTTGCCTCCTTTTCAAAAGTGTGTGTCAATGCAGTCATGCCACCGACCAATAAAACACAATATCAAACCCCCTAGCAAGCCTCCTGACAAAGAACTTCTTTGAAATTTGCAGGAAAGGTCATTTCGTGAAATGGGAACATGAGTTAAAAAAAATCCAAAATTCATCAAGCAAGCTGGTGAAAGTGAACAACTTAACTTCAATTTCATTATGCTCTCTCCTGCTTTTAGTTGACTCTTCTAGGCCATTTGATGAGGACTCTCATTATGCAACATTTTGCAAAATGTGCTAGAGATTCCCAGTGAATGTGCAGTGCAAGATGTGATGTAAACAATATATGCAAATTGAGATCCTGGACAAAAGCCCACAGAAAATGTCAACACTCAGGTTGAGGCCTTTCCAATTATGACGCCTTTTGCTCTTCTGTGCAGGTTTCCTGAAACATTCTTTCTACTGTATCTCGCCTTCTTTTTAAGATTTTTACAGTAAATGAAACTTTTATGTGGTTAAAACTAGTTTCTCTGACTTAGGAGAAAAAAATGAAATTTTGAAAATTTTGAGCTGATTTTGTTGACAATGAAATATATGAAAATAATATATGGAAAAAAAAGCATCAAAAGATACACAAGAACAGAAAATGGAAAATGAAAGACATTCATTGTAAAAGAGAAAAGTCCAGAGTATCTAAACAGACCAAAGATATTTTACAACTGCAAGTTCAATTTGTTTCAATTTTGCTATATTTGAATTAAACCATTATCTCATCAGGCTTGAAGTAAGAATCTTCAGTCTCTAGAATATTGCTGCAGAAGAGCCTTTTTGTTTCTTTTTTGAAGGATTTCTTTGACAAAATTTTCTATTCATTTAGCATCTCATTCCAAATTTTGACACCTAGAGTACTTAATCCTAACAAGTTGTGATGTTGATGAGCAAGTAGTATATGAGTATAATTGTTTAATGTTCTCACAAAACGTTTCATGATGTTAGAAGGTGCACTGTTGTTATGAAGATCAAGCATTAATTTACATACAGCTTCATGATATAAGATGGTAATAGGTAGAATTTTTGCATTTATAAATAAGGGAATAGCATGTTCTTTTTTATCAGTAAGGTAAATTAAATGCAAAACTTGCTTTTGGAGAACAGCAATTTTGTTTACTATTATATTTTTTAGACCCATTACCCTAAGCAGGGAGTCCATAGGTTATATCAGGCAAAATTAAGGATTTATACAGTATATATTTATAAGGACAGATGATGGAACAATCTATCTCAGCTTGGCAATCATTTGTATGGTCTTATACAGTGACAACACAGTCAACATGGTTTTTCCAAGAAATATTTTCAACAAATATTTTCAAAACACCTATTAAACAATTGATGTAGTTATTACATGTTCTAAACTGACTTTTCTATTTGTTTCACTATCAAATATACTTCTTTGATAAATTCTCCTTGTCTGTTCCATAGGAAATGTAAAGAGAACAGTGTGGAGAATATGAATACCAATGTCTGTGGGTGTTAAGGGTTAAAAGTCAAATGAGGCACTCAGGGGGAACACACACAATTCTATAAAACCCACACTGCAGGACCTCCCTTTGCTACCTTTGTGACTGAGATTTTCATCTGCATTTTAACCTTCAAATGGGATGCTGCTGGCATCACCATCCTTAGGGGGGAATGGGGGCATACTTCCCCTGAAAATTGTGAAAAAATATGAATTTTCTATGGCATACTTTAGTTTTAAAGTGAGCATTTCCACTGCTGCCAAAAAACTCTGAAGCACGTTCAAAGTAAACAAGGAGTAAATTATATTTGAAACAATAATAATTTCTTAGTTACTTAATGACAGTAGTAGTTTATAGTTTCAGCTTGAGAACATGATACTAATTTTTTTGCGCAAGTCTCATGATGAATGTGAAAGACTTGAGAGCTTTGAATTGGGCTTTTAAGTGTGGCGGCTTTTAAGCAGCAGTTTTCAGTATTTCTGGAGTAGAGGTACAGGCATGTATCAGTTATTCCTTAGGCTCAAAATGAAGGAATGCATAATGTCATTCACAACAAGCCAGCAGTAAAGTAGAAAATTGATTTTCAACAACTACTTTGAAAACACATTTCCACGCGAAGCACAACCCTTGCGAACTGAATTCCCAGTTTTCTGGGAATTCCTAGGAATTCTAAAAAATTCCCAATTATGCAAATGACCCTTGAAAACTGAATTCCCATTTTTCTGGGAAATTCTGGGAATTCCTAGGAATTCTCAAAAATTCCCAACTATGCAAATTAACTCTGATTTAAAAAGCTTGGAATTACTGGGAATTTCTGGGAAAGGAAGACTCCAGTTTTGTGAGGACTTGGAATCCCTAGGAATTCCTAGGAATTCTCAGCTTTACAAACTACCTATAATTTAAGAAGTGTGGAACTCTTGGGAATTTCTGGGAATTGAATTTGAGGCAATTTTAATACCCTGAGGTCCACATAAATTCTAAGAAATTCTCAATACCTTGAATGTGAAGGTTTTAAGAAAAAGAGTAATTTCAGAGGCTCAAAACTTTGGCTCAATAAAAGGTATGCTATACAAAACTTACCAAGAGATATACATACATGTACATGTTTATAACTTAAAGATCATGAAATTTATTACTCAAACTAAGTTTTAGTAAATCTTTACATTAATATGGATTTTCTCATGAACCAGCTGTCAGTTATGTTAAATGGAAATTGCCAATTTCCACAATAATTAACAATAATTACATTGTTATCTTACTTCCCTAACCTACATTACTGGTTGCCTTTGTTAGAAAACCTTGGAACAGTCAAGCTCAGTTGCCTCAAACGCTGTCAGAGACTTTTTGTTGACAATACTTTTAGTAGAAATTTCATGCCTTAGACAAACAAATTCAACACCTAATTATTTTTTCTTTTTTCATGATTGTTGTTGCTGCTTTTTTCAGTTTTTTTGCTCTATTTTCATGACTAATTGCTGTAATTTGTTTTGCTGTTTTTATTCTTACAAAACATTTTTGTAAGAGTTCCAATACTTTTGGATCATCCACACACTTTGCAAACATTTGGCATGCAGACAAGACAGAGGTAGTCAATGTACACTTTGAGGAAAAACACCTTTTATATGACGTCTTCAATTTACTTTATTTGAAACTCTGATCTGAAAATATTTGTCAACAAGACTTGTTAGTAGTGAGAAGTACCAACCAAGTTTCCTTTCATAACTTAATTTCTTAAATGTCCCAATCACTGGATCTCCCAAAAAATATTACATCTTTTTATTTTTGGTGCAAATTACAAGTCCTTCTTTATATAAAAATGAAAAGTGCTAGTCACACTTCAATAATAACAGCTCTTAAGTTTACTTGTTGTTCTTCTCTGTCTATCAGCTATCAACAAAATTGTTTTATACTTCGGGCAGTGCATAACTATTTGTGGACCAGAGTTCCAACGCACCTCTGTAAT